TGCGTTGGGTAGCAACGGGTGACTGTTCTCAGGCGGAAGATGTAAACAGCTTAATTTTCGTGTTAAATAATTTTTTAAAATTTAAATTCATTCTATACAGCAATCGCATATTTGGGTACCGTTTCATAAAACGTTCATGCTCAAAATATTTAGGGAGAAATATGGAAGACTGGTGTGTATTTTTTCTTTAAACTACATAGACCAGCCATACACAGTACAGTTTACGTACATACAGTATGTTTATGTTCCTAAATTAATATCGTTCATGACCTTCAGATGCGTTATGCTCCTCTTCTTTTTATGCTCAGCTACTAAAATTTCCCTTTAGTGGTAAAATTCCATATAAATATTCAAAACTAAGCGGATTAAAATGTGCACAGTAAAGATATTAAATAATTAAATCTTTTCACTATCAACCAATGCACCACGAGTGCCACCAGCCAATCACTTACGGTACCCCGCGGTGGCTTGTGGGTAGATTACCGTACTGCGGGTTTGTACTGCGCATTTTCAATGGCTGCATCTGTAATATGTTTTTAGTTTTAACCATTTTTCTGGATGAGGTAAAAATGGAAGTTTCCAATTTAAAAGGATTGGAAACGTAACGGGAGCCAGTCCAAGCTCCCGTGAAACGTAGTTCAGGACCCTATGCAGATGGTACAATCCAGAAGTGGAGAAGGACAACAGGGAAGAGACTTTGAGGAACAGGACGGGTTGACAGACAGTGCAGCCTGACGACAGTGATCTGGTGCTCGGGGGGTGTAGCGTAGACAAACAAATCCAAACTGTCCAAGGGGGAAATCCGGGGCGCAGTCCAGAGTCCAAGAACCAGGTGTTTCATCCAAGACAAACAAGGTCCGACACAAACAAGTTTAAAATCCAAAACAGGAACAGAGAATAAAAACCAGGGTAATGAGGCCAGGCTCAGGTGGTCAGGACGCCGTGATTAAGCCTATACCGTCGGGTCTCTCCTGGATCAACTGGTTGGTGGGCTTCTGGGCGTCCATCTCCCAGTGCTAAGCCAGGAGTAGAGGGAGTGCCAGGCTTAAATAATGGCAAAACAGGGGGCAGCTGCACATAATAAACTATAATAGCAAAGGGTCGGAGCACCCTTAAAAGGAGGGATGATGATCGTGACAGGAAAGAATTATGGTATAATGTGTCAGGCACTGTAAGTTACTTAAGCAGCTCTGTCAACAGAAAAGAGTGTTACATTTCAAAACCACAGAAAATAAACTGTATTACAAATTTAGTTTCATATAAGAATACAATTTTCGATAATATTCTTTGTGTTCATTTATTATTTTCATATATATACATTTACACAATTAGGGGATTGTGAACAATAAAGACTCCCTACCTTTAAGCTGAAATGACTCGTGCTTAACAAAATTATTGACTACATTTAAAACAAAACTTTGATTTTTTTGGTTAATTTTTAATAACAAAAACAATAAATATTTATACATGTAATATTTTACCTCTCATATCTTATCCCTGCTCATTAAGCAATGGGAAATGATTTCTAATATTGTTCTCAAGTATCATGTGCGGTATAATTTAATTTACAGTTCAATTGTAGTACAATAACTTTAAAGTACAAATTATAGTATAGTTCTATTGCTTTCAAAAGGCTTTCAGAAATATGTAAAGAAATTGTATAGTTTTTGGTAGTAACACAGTCCTTAGATTGCACTTCAATGAGCTAAAAAATACAAAATACTGTTAACTCATTGTTAGTGTTTTAATCTAAACAAATTATCAGAAATAACAGAAATGATCAATTTATGTTTAAGTACTGATGTGATTTGCAAAGAGGAATGTACAGTATTTTGTAAAAACAATACCTAGATGCTTACATACTGTACGATATACTGTACTTTAGAAATCAACCACAAATAAAATACTTCAGTAAACTTAGTTACAAGCTGGTGAAGACCTAATATTAGCTGTAGTAAATATCAATGGAAAAAGAAAGGTTTCTGTGCAACTGCTGTGGTCCTGCCTAAGAAAATTTTTATTTTCTTTGGAATCTTTATAAAAACAGTTAACATTAGTGACATGAATTTGTTACAGTACTTTACATCATCATAAGTGGAAATGTTTAAAAATGAATGAACTACAAGTCATTTTTTTAAAATCAAGCTTCATGTAAATATATACTGTACAGTTGCAGGCAGGACATAATTGCATCTGTCACAAACAGGATACAGTCTAAAAACATTCAGCAAGAATCCCCTTAGAAAATACTTAGGTCTTTGTGTACAGAAAATACTTTTGCAAACCCGGGGAAAGTAGAGGGAAGTACCAGCATGAACTATGTGGAAATAAAACACAAAGTAAAACTGAACTAGAGATTCTAAATAAACTTAAAAAAGTAAAACTACAACCATGACAAATCTTAAATACTGTACCTATCACTGTAAGTGACAACATCAATTATTATATGTAAAGAAAGCATTGCAAGTTACAGTGCAAACAAAAAGTCCTGTTTTCCCAGGAGAAGTATGCATCTAAATAATTTCATGAAATCAAGCAATTCAAGCAATAAATGATAATAATGGTAAATAAATGTACATCTCCACTGCTCACAGCAATAAAGACGCCTTATGTGTTTTGCAACTCTGCAAATGTTTTTAAAAGAAAGCTATTTTCTTTTTGTATGTTTCAGATTCTGGAATGTTGACCAAAGGATATTTTGTTAACATTGTGATGGCATTAATTGCATTCATATCTTTGGTTTCCTTAATAGCGGCTTGATTTCAACACTGGTAAGAACTAATTGTGAGTTTTATCAAACATGAAATAGTTTCTTATTTATCCAGCATGTGGTTCTCCTGATGACTTAAATTCAGACAGAAGCACATCATATTCTGAAATACTTAAAATACCTATCCATTTTGCTAAATTATACTCACATGTATCTCAATTATTTAAGTTAAAAAATAAAATAAAGTTAACAGCAAATTAATAAGTGGAATGGTGTTTAGTCGTGGTATAGTACATTACAGCTTTTACTGTAGGTCTTATGTTTGTTTCTGCACTGTAGCATCATCTGTGTAGAGTTAGCAGGTTTGTGATGGGTCTGGCTTGTAGTGGTGTGCTGCACTGATTAATAACTGTTGATTCCATACTGAATGCAGTGAAAGTTATTGGAGGGAGCAGGAAACTATAGCAGCAAACAATGGGCACAAGATCTGTTACAAGCTCTGTCAAACCTCTTAGTAGCCTACTAATGATAAAAAAGAGCTAAATGAAATTGAAGCAAAACAATAATTAAAACCTGGATTTTAACTATGAACTGCTAAGGCTTGGGGCATGTCAAAATTTGACCTACCTAATTCATGATCAATGGCAGTTACAGCTTGGATTTGATGCATGGGTTGAAAGTTTGAATTTACATTGATATATGTATTTTAATTAAGGAAAGAGATCCATGAATTCATGACATGCTCTTTACCAGTTATGTAAATTTAGAAGATCAGTGGACAGACTTCACACGTGTCAGTGCTGTTCATTATCTGGCTTTCTGACTAATGTCCTCACAGCCCTTGTGATATCCAGACATTTATGAGCTGCTTGCGAAATCTCAGTAACAGTTTGCCAAGTATACACTACATGCCAGGCTCAAACTGGAGTACCACAGGCATCAACGAGGACTCTTTACTAAAAATGAATCTTTACTAGTCGAGCCATTCAGGTGACTTAGAAGTGTCATCACCATTTTTAGTGGGCATCTTAAACCCAATTACTAACAAGAAGCACTTAAATAACTTCCAATTTAACAGTATTTTTCTTCAGTGTTTACTTTTTTTAACCTCTACAAGCCACAAAAGTCATTAACACTATGATGTGTTTAATATCAATTAAAAATCTCCTTCTAGCTTTATTAATGTTTTACATCAGGATTTCTGTAAGCAAATGAAATCAGATTCTTTAAAATGCTCACTATGTGACAGAGTATGTGTAGTAGTTTGCCAAGGTAGAAGTTGTATAAGAATAGGTGTTCAGATATTTCAGCTTGATATAACATTTATCTCATTTTCAATTTACAGCATGTGTATTGTGGGTTACCTGGGAATGCAGGTTCCACTAGTAATTAATAGAAATGTAAACCAACTATAACTGTTTTGTGTGTATCACTCACTGAATTTCTGCTGAAGTTCACGGACACATTCCTAAGAAGTGGTTTCAATGCAATCAGTTATAAAAATGCAAAAACTATTTTAGAGTCAAAATAGAAATCTATTACTGTACATACAGTACAGTAGTATTCAGAGGGAGATAAACAATTCCTCTATGAACTAACTCCAGGCAGTATTATACTGTATGTATAAAATTGAATTTATATACTGACACGCAATAAATCACATGGCTTGTCCAGAAGCAGCAAGAAACATCAAAGATGAACACCTTAGACCACTTAATAAATCTCTGAATCCAAGTTTAAACTGCAGTGGCAACAGTATGAGAAGTTCAACAGAATAACCACAGCACACATAACAATCCGTAACATGCTTGGAGATTCAGAGGAAATGTCTTATTCATTCAATGTTAAAAACACCAGGTTTTTGACCAGACAGCATTTGTCTTAGTGATAAAGACACTGTGGGACATTTAAAAAAAATAAATTAATGCCATATACTCTTGAGACATGGATTATAACTTGGCCTGAGTCATCACAGTTAAGGTGTGGCAGACCACTGCATTATCTTATCTGATCTTCATTCTTGAAGGAAGAGTAATGGCTCAACAATACATGTACAAAATCCTATAACCACCAGTACTTTTGTTCCTTCAAGCTCATTGTGCTGGTACAATTCTTTAGGACAATAACATCAATGCACTTACAGTATGGTCAGAGTTTTCAGCTTTTAATGAGCCGTAAATATCTTTTTGGATTCTGTCTTCATTAACTTGCTATAGTATACACAAAGGAGGTCATATCAGATACTGTTAAATTGTTACTTTAACTTTGGCAGCACGACTTTGTTTATTAGAGAAAACATAATTGCTGATAAAATTAAATAATGCTTGGTGTTCTCAGGTTACATTCATGTATTTCTGTGTATGGTAATGTTTTTTTAATGTTTAAGAAAATATTTTATTTTAAAATGGCTTTTCTCTTCTTATTGCAGGAGGTCTAACATTTCCATATAAATGGATACAATAGGAAAAAGCTTTCACACCACTCACCTGATTACAAAATAATTAATGTTTTGATGTTGATATTTCAAAATAGACATCATGGACAGCTTTAAAGGATACAACGCATTGATTTGAAAAAGAATATTTAAGTGTTTTTATTTCCATTAATTCTCCTCATACCTCATAATAGTCTGCCATCAGTTAGCAGGTTAAATTTGTTAGTAACTGTTCTTTATTAGCAACAGTTTTTATGAAATCTCATATTTTAAATAATTAGAAAAAGTTTCAGTAGATGCATAATATTATAATAATAGTATTACTTATCTTGTGCTAACCACAAAAATGTGATGTTCATGTTTATAAAGATAAAACATTATCTGCTCCTTACTAATTATCTTACTAATGATAGTTGTATACAGTAGTAGTTGCAAAGGTTTGAATAAATAAAACTATTTCTTGTTGCATGTTCCAATTGCCTTATTGAATTCTTGCTAGAACACTACTTACTGTCACAATCTAAAAATATTTAGACATTCAATTTTGCAACAATTGTTTTATGCAGTAACTGTCAAAAAAACTTAAAACTGTAGCATCAGAACATTATATTGAGTCATATTACAGTATATACTTTGATCATCAAGCAGCTAACATATAAATAAATGTACTGCTCTACTGAAAGATACTGTATGTCTATGTCTGGAGGCATTAAAATGTACAGTCAGAATATACTGAAGCAAAATAAAAATAAATCACCTCCAGTGTAATTTACTTTTCTCTCATTCCCTTTTGCATTTTTCACTTTGGAGAGAGTCAAAATGGAAAATACTTTGTATCATTTTAGTTAATTAACATGTTACTAAAGACATTGAGTACAGGGAATTGTTTTAGGTAATTCATAGTAACAAACTAGACGTGTGATCTAAATATGAAGCTTCAAAATCAAGTACAGTATATTCAGAAGAAAACAGATTTGTCACACAGATTCCATATAAACCTGCATAGTAATTCTAGAACTTCTGGAAATGTCAACATTATTTTGTTGCAAAATGTTAAATTGTTATAATATGTTAGGTGCCTTCATTGCTTTGGATTCCTACTGTATGTGCAGTGTATAGTTTCTGATTTGATAACATTGTAGCATGGTCATATGGATAGAGTAATTCTAGCAGTCATTTCATGCTCAGCAAAAATATAGCTTTTCACATGTATTTTTAATAAAAGTACAGGTTTCTAGCACAGTTGACTTTTTAATGCTTAACACATAGTACTATTATGCGTTTAAGCATGATTTAATAGAAACAGGATACTGACAACATTTGACATTACTGTATGCCATATTACTGCTGAAGTGTGGAGCTCTCCTATTTACAACTGCAAAAAAGTGGCTCATATTTATTTTTGTGATCTTACACAGACACACCTAATGTGATGTCTGATTCTTCCTCCTAGTGGTTGTTATATTTTTAATAAGAAAGGACAGCTAGTAGAAACAATACAAAATGAAAGTAGGCCAATTCTCCACAAATCGGCATTGTTTGATATTATAGAACTATGGTGCTGATAATGTTTTAGGCATTACTAGCACTTATGTTTAGAAGCTTATAGCCTTGTGAGAATAGATAATGAGCATAAAAACTATATCTGTATTTCCAATGTATAAATATATAAATGTATTTGGTGTTGTGTTGCTTAATTGAGTATTGACGACAGACTATAATACATTCAAGTGCTTTACTGTTACATGCGTACTATCTTTCTAGCAAAAGTTGAATGGAAACAATTCTCACTTGCTGTCCTTCCTATGGGCTCATCCTGATATAACAACAGTCATACAAGACAGTGAACATGCTGTTCTTAAACAGCTTTCATGCAAGAGCAGAATGTGAACGTTATCCCATTATACCACAGTATACAGTATGTCCTAATCACCAGACACATTGAACCTTGTGGGATGAGCGAAGACGTATTATTTGGACTTCAGATATCAATGAAAAAGCACGTGTTTATCCAGGCGTTATGAGAAGAATGGAAGAAACTCACAACATTGTAGCTTTGACCTGGTGCATCATATACAGTGTGTATTATAGCTTCTCAAGGTGGCCACAGATGTCTAGCCTGTGACTTTCAAAGTAAATTGATGATTAATCTTGTAGATAATCAGTGTTGGTCCATGTTGTCATGCCTTATTGTAACAGGCTACAAAAACAAGAATACTCATGATATTTCAACTAAAATTATATTGGTTTATGAAGAATTGTGGACACTTTTCTTTCCCTTTTGATACGTTTTTAAGTAGTTTAGATTTAAGCTTTCATTAACTCAGTCCTGCTACTCCTGAAGCAGGAGTAGGATTTAAAGACAGTAGCTATCAAAGACTAATGCATTATAGTATTATAATAACAGATCTCCCTTTGTTGGTAGCATAGCAAGGAAAATCTGCACACAAATAATTATCCTTTTATAAAGGATTTATAAAATGTATCCAGGCAAATGGACCACCTTGATGTCATTATACATTCACAAGCCTCATTCTACCATGAAAAATACCTAAGTTCCACTTCAACAGATTAGTGAAAAGTCCTCACTCAGTTGAACCTGTTTAGACCAGTCCTCCCAAACCCATATTCTCACTTACCAGCATGCTGGCATGGCTACAATTGAGGTTGTTACTCACAATGTGTATGGATTTTAATTTAATTTAAGTGTGAGTTTATAATACTTTTTCAAAATATCACAATGATCTTACTCTGAGCTTTTGTGTCTCACTTTCTTGCAGACTGCAAGGGTCTAAACAGATAACCTCTGTCTATTCTTAATGTTTTTTTTCTAGTGTCATAGTTTTCACAGGTTCAGCAAATTTCTTAATTCCCACTTGAGGATGTCAGATTTTCTTTTTTGGGAATGTCTCATCATCACCTTCTGGCACCTCCACCCCATATTTTACACTTAGGTTGTCCTGTTATTACTCTATTCTATTATCTATCCAGTAGGGTATTAGGGGAGTCAGAGCCTATCCTAGCAAGCTATGGGTGCAAGGTGATAAACACCTTGCATGGGATGCCAGTCCATTGCAGGGCAAACACACAGACACAAACACAGACAAGCATGCTCTCATACCTAGGGCCTATTTTCCCAGAAAATGTGGAAAGAAAGCAGAGTACCTGGCGGTGACCCACACAAACTCATAGAGGACATAATGTACAAACTGCACACAGACAGCTCTCCAGGTCTGGAATTAAACCTCAGGTTCCAGCACTGCAAGGCTGCAAAGCTAACTACTGCACCCATATTATCACCCATATTATATACAGTAGTTTAACATATTAGTATCAGTCTCTACTTTATTTGATATATAAATTCTTCATAACGGATGATACACATGCTGTTCTAAGTGTTATAGTAACCAAGCCTCAGATTATTTACATAAGAACGTTAGACGTTATTCAGCTCACCAATTGCTTTTTCTCCTCCTTGAAATTTCTATGATTTTTATGTTTTATATAAGTGAAACTTCTTTCACATATAATGTTCTGTTTTGTAACTGAGCTCAATTCTGGCAACTAGGGGTTACATTCTTAAGTAGCTGGAATGGCGCATAAATTCTCTACCCACATTGTGACAACAAAATAGTCACAGACCAAAAAATCTTTCATGTTTTTTTTATTCTTTCAAAGACCATGCAGCACCAAACAGGTGCACTTTGATGCTGATCCTCATTAATGGCTTATACAGAGCTTTGCAACACTCCATCAGCTCGTCTGCTCCCAGCCAACCCTCAAGGACACACACACACATACACACACCCACACACTCACAAGATACTGTAAGCTTTAAACCCCCCCAAAAATACTTTGATTTTATAAACAAAAGCTCTATTGGGTAACAAATAACATGCCATCCATTTCACCACAGGCATTCTTCCACACTGTGCAAAATCTTTAATAACTTTAGCTGTAAAGCAGAGCTCCAGTACCCTCCCCTCTTCATGTTTATTCATCTTCTAATGTAGCTGTGAAACATTAAAAACAAGACCAGTTTCTAGTATGAGTGTCTCTGTCTTACCAATTTCTCCTTCCCCCTCTGGAAACTCAAGGCCTCTCCCCCTCATCATGGGAAAAGGTGCCACACACCTCTCTGAGGCCTCTTTGGGCACTGCAGAGGATCAGAGGAGGAAACAAATAATATGTTTTACTTCACTCTCCAGTGCATGGAATTCTTCATCATATCAACAGGGTATCTGGGATTCAGCTGTTGCCTACAACGTTTTACCATAGGTCCTCACAAAGCAATAAAAATTGTCCAGCGGCACTGACTATGCCCATGAAAAGGAATAGTAATTTCCCTAAACTCCATTAATATCAGATGTTGAATGCTGACTTTTCCAAACATACATTTTTGAGTATTTTGAATTATTGTACCATGTTCTCTACTAATCTTCTCTAGTTATAAAAAGGTTCTGTTCCTTCATTGTATTAAGTGTAGGACATTCCATTACTGTATCTGGTTTCTCTGGACTGATCCCAGAGCACCAATATCTTTTCTATAATGTGGTAACCAAAAATGTCAGCAATATATATCCTATTGTTTAGTTTTACTTTTTAGTTACTTACCCGTATTGTCTAAAAGACGTAAATGATGTATCAACATGAACACCTTTTTCCATAAGTAGCCTTTTCTGCTTCAGTGTTTCCCATTTTCCATTTATAGTTAATGTTTTTGCTACCTGCATGTAAAACCCTGAAACTGCCTAGACATTAAATGTCATTTGTTAAGTGCTCACTTAATCTTAACTTTTATCAAGGATTTTATCAATTTTTAAAGGAGTAACTTTGTTTGAAGCCTTATCATATGTGTTAACACCATACTGTATGTGTAAACACCAAAACACCAATGATCCACTTTAAAAGTAGATCCACACTACTTCAACAACTCCAGTTAGATTTTTTTCAACAGGTATTGCTGTAATAATCTGATGTTTATAAAAAAAAGATACAGTGTACCTGAGTGTGTACAGTATATGTTGCCTAAGCTACAATGTGTCAACCACTGCATTGTGGAGGTGGATGAAACAGTTCCTGGTTATTAATAAATGATAGAGTAGTTGGCCATCATCTTCATCATCATGTCCTTAAGTTAATTTTCACTACTGTCATCATTAAACCATTTAA